TCCTGGCACTTGCTGTAGAGACCAGATCTGCCTGCCTCTGCCTCCAGAGTGCTGGGATTAAAGGCATTTGCCACCAACGGCCGGCTGAGAGGTTTAAGACAACAGCTTGAAAGTGTTGGTAGAATCAGAGTATGTAGATAAAGGGAATGATCAAGGTTTAGTTAAAGTGCAGTCCTGAGTTTGCTGCTCATGCTTTTGTCTTTCCAAAAAAAAATTTTAAGGAAGCAACTTTCGATTCTTCTTTCCATTTGTTCTTGTTACTATTGTAAGCACATATGTATGGTGGCACTGCATTTGTTGGTACGAGTGCAGGCCAGAAGACAACTCAGGAGTTCTTTCCTTCCTCCTTGGTGGGTTCTGGGAGTAAAGTCCGATTGTCACCATTTTGCAGCAAGCACTTTTACACACCTTATCGGATCACAGCTTCTGATTCTTTTAGCTCCTTCTACATCCCGATTAAAAACATAACTTACTGCTTAGGCAGGGAACTTAAAAAATTCTTTTTCTGGTGCTAGGCATGTAATTGGCATTCTAACCAGCCAGGCTAGGGCCTTTTGACATGTTGGGCTGCTGCTCTTATGAGCTACATCCCTCCCATTTTCCAGGGTTGTTGACTTTCTTTCCAAGTATGTCTTGACAACAGTTCTCTCCAATCTAAAACCTTTTCCATGTGGTCATCACATTTTTAAGGTGTTTATTTAGATTATACGTATTTTGTGCTCGTGATTTTAATATGTGAACTTTAGTTGGAGTTCCAGAAAGTAGACTCCTGGACTTCTTGAACTGGAAAGAGCTTTTGTAAAATAATTATCTCTTCTCAAATAAAAAAGTTTAAAATAGCACCTGGTCAAGGCCATGAAATCGATTCAATCCTCTTAACTGTACATTCCAATATGACTCTTAACATGGTTCTGATTCTAACCCAGCCAACAGATGAGATCACTTAACTGACCCAATTTAGTAAAATATGGGGGTAAGGGAAAGACGATAAAAGTTGGCTGAGAATAAGTATGGTGAGTTTATAGCCAGTGGAACTTGAGAGCCAAGGGACCTGCACATGTTGCTTTAATGGTGCTGGGGATTACTGGAAGGTCCACTTTGGATCCTTACAGCTCTGCCAGTCAGAAAAACCTGAAATCATAAATTTAACAAAGAACAGGATTTAGAACCAGGTAGCATCCCAAAGATGGTTCAGAACACCCCATGTCTAGTGTGAACTACATCAATAGTGCAACTCAGGATTTGTCTTTTATGGGCACACTTTGGCAGCCTTCTGCCAGCCTGGGACTGGCGGAGACCAGTTGTTTAGTTAACAGGATATATACTTCATAACCTGCTTTGCATCTCAAGCTAGAATGCAGACCATTTATACAGGAAGGCCACTCTGGACCAAATTTTACCTAGAGTATGGCTACCAGTTTAGAACACATTTGTTGGAACAGAAACGTACACGTTTAAAACAGGATACACGAGAATTCTAAGCTCTTCCCAGCCCCGCAGGCAGGGGCGGGGGCCAAGCTGCAGAGGCAAGGAGGTGGCCACCCTGCCAAGAAGAGGGTGTTCTCACGACTTGGCCCCTCAACTCCTCAGCCGGTGCACACCCCACTCAAAGTCCCCAGGGCGAGTTCGGGTTCCCGGGACTGAGGACTAGCGAGCTCCAAATCACGCCACACCGCGAGAGTCAGGCACGTGGTGGCCTCGCTGCAGTTTCCGCCCTGTCCCTCTTATTCAACTACAGCCTAGGCCTCGCGTGTCGCCGCCCAAACCACTGTGCCACAAGACGGGTGGGAAAACCGGAAGCAAGATGGCATCTTCCCGCCCTTCTCTCGCGAGAGGAGCGGAGACGGGAAGGTGGGGCGGGCAGGAAATGCACCAATGAGAGGACGGGCCGTGCGTGACTGACGGCTCCGGCGGCCTCTCGCACGCCCCGCCCCGGCTGCGGAGCTCGCTCTCCGCTCCCGGCGCTCTCCCCGCCTCCCCTTCCCTCCCCGCCCGGCTCTTCTCTTCCCGTTGAGGTGGCGGCCGGCCTCGCCTCCTAGTCAGCTCCGCTTTTCATCTCCTCGGGTCTTCCCTTTTCCCCGGAGCCCAGAGCGGCAGGACTTCTCGCTTCTTTCTCTACGGTGGCCCCAGTGCCTCTGCGTGCGCTCCTTCTCCCGCCATGAATGAGGAATACGATGTGATCGTGCTGGGCACCGGCCTGACGGTGAGCCGCGGTGGGCGGCGGGGAGACTTGTCTGTCCGGCCTCTACCGGGCCCGGGGGCGAGGGCGGGTCACTCGGATATACACCGAGCCACCAGCCCCGCCCGCGTCCCAACAGCCCGCGTCTGCACTCCCCTGGGGACCGTCCCCCCTCGTCCGTGCTGGCTCTAGGGAGGGAGGTCTTGGCTCCTTGGGATGCACCGATTTGAAGGCGCCCGAGTGTTAGGGAAAACCAGGACGTGGAACTTGGGACTGGTGTCTGGGGAGCTAGCCCATCGGGAAGTCGAGGACAGTCGAGGAGAGAAACAGCTTCGTCTTCTGCAGGAAGGAAGGAAGGAAGAGGAAAGGGAAAACAGCCTGTGCTCTTTCCACTTCCCCTTTGGGTGGATGACCTCTCCCGATTGGAAGCAGGCAAGCCCTGCACCGAGAGGGAGGGAGTCGCTGCTGGCGCTTGCATTTCCTATGTGGCGAGCTGCAGCGGTTGCTTAGCTAGTCAATTGGCTGGGGAAGCCAGGCAGGATAGTCGCTGATCGGTAATTGTCCTAGAGTTTGGCCAGCTGAAGTTTCTAGAGAAAATAATGAAATGAGCTCCTTTGGAAAAAAAATCCCTTTTCTAATAAGCCTTAAGCATTCATTTACCGTCCTATCACCCTCTCACTTAGAATGGGAAATGAATTGTCTATTAGACACTTTCATCCCTGGCCCTTGCCATGTTTCCCTTTTGTTTGGTTTATTGCGTGACACCACTGATTTCCCTTAAGAAATGGATTGAGAAGGAGAGGCTAATTTCTCTGTGCTGCTCTTCAGGTAGGTTAGAAAATAAATGTGCAGCGTGAATGTACTGGTAATATATAAATGTAAGGCGGTACTAATGCTACAGTATATTTATTTTCGTGGGTATCTATCTGCTAAGGTATGTTTACATGATCTGCAAACAATGTAGACAAATTTTTATATTTTTTTCTTGGCTTGTTTAAGAAAAGAGCTGATCATGTGCCAAAAGAAATTGGACAACCAATCGTTTTGACTATGCATTTGGGTGTGTGTATGAAATTATGACTGCGTTATTTCATCAGAAACATTGATGTACGCATCCCATACAATATCACTTCAAATGTCATTTAATAAAAATGATGGCTTTCGAATTTGTTGAAATGTATAATTTTTTGATCAGATTAATATCTTTTTTAGATAAAATATTCTGAAATGGCTGTTTTAAACCTTCAAGCTTCAAATACCACTTCTTTTTAACTTTAGGAAAAGCTTATTTTTCTCTTTACAGTGATTAGTGATGATTGCTAAAGAAGATTATTTTATTTTGTCAGGGTCTCAGTAGCCTTGGTTGACTGGAACTCAGAGCTCTGCCTATCCCTCCCTGTCCCTGCTTCCTGAGTCCTGCTGAAGGCTCAATAGACATGTGACTGCTCAGAGAGTAGGCCATCAAATAGACTCCTTTGCTTATCTAGAAAGCCATTTACTTATTTCTGCCTCCATATATTCCTGCAAGCCAGAAGAGGGCACCAGATCTCATTACAGATGGTTGTGAGCCACCAAGTGGTTGCTGGGAATCAAACTCAGGACCTCTAGAAGAGCAGCCAGTGCTCTTAACCTCTGAGCCATCTCTCTAGCTCCCACTTAATTCCTTTTTTTGAGGCAAGGTATTTCTGTGTCTTCTTGGCTGCCCTGGAACTCCTTAAGTAGATAAGACTGGCCCTAACTCAAAGAGATCTTTCCACCTCTGCCTTCCCAGTGCTGGTATTAAAAGATATGTACCATTACAGCCAGTGATTGGATTTTTTTGGTTGTGAGTTGGGAAGACTTGGGTGCCAAAATGAATCACTACCCAGAGGAGGCAGCAGGTTCTGACCTTTTTAAAGTGCCTAATTGAGGTTCCAAGTAGTTTGTGGTGGGTCCAGTAGCTGCCAGCATGTTACAAGAGACCGTTATTTCCATTTTGTGTTGTCATTGCTAATAGTTCTTTTTTGCCCATTAATAAAGTCAGTTGAGTATAGATAAGTGAGTGCAGAGCCATCCTGCAAGTTTCCACATGCCTAGTTCGGAAGCATCACTATATCAAAGGTAACACAGTCTAATAAAATAACACCCTTTATTTTAATTTTCATTTGAATTGTGAATTTCTTGATGAATAGTGGATACTGGGTCTTACAGCTATGCTAACTTTCTTCCTTAGTGGGCGGTAAAGATGTACACTGGGAGATGTTCTTTTAGAATTGTATCAGTACAGGGTGGTGACTTTAAGACCATTATTGATAGAAGCAATAATAGCAGGATAATGTTGTCAATAAGAAATAAGATTAGAGCCAGGTAGTTGTGGCATTGAACACCTTTAATCACAGCATTTGGGAGGCAGAGGCAGAGGCAGGCAGATCTCTTGAGTTCGAGGCCAGCCTTGTCTATAGAGGGAATTCTGGGACAGCCAGGGCCTGTTACACAGAAAAATCCTGTCTCAAAAAACAATAGCAGCAGCAGCAGCAGCAACAACAAAAACCAAAAAAGAAATGAAATAAGTAGGACTTAGGTGAATTTTTTTTAACTTTATTTTTAGTATATGTACATTGATGTTTTGCCTGCATATATATGTGAGGATGCCAGATCCCCCGGAACTGGCATTACAGACAGTTGTGAGCTGACATGTGGGTGCTGGGAATTGAACCCAGGTCCTTTGAAAGAGCAGTCAGTGTTCTTAACTGCTGAGCTGTCTCTTCAGCTCCCTTAGGTGAAATCTTGAATTAGGTTAAATCTTGAAGAAACCTGCAATCAAAGTTAAAAAACTCAAATTAGAAGTAACTTTAATATCTGAGTGGATATACCATTTGATGTCCTTAATCTTTGGCTCTGGATATTTAGTGCTGAAGATTTAAGAACCTAATAAAAGGGTAGGTACCAAATGCTGTTTAATACTGGTATGTCAAGGACTTTGCAGGGAACTTGTCACTTTTAAACAAGTGTTGAGTTTTCTATCTCTATTGGTGTTGGCATTGTTTTCTATCAGTTAAGCTGATACTAATCCATGAGTATTAAAAATAACTTCAGTAAAAACCTTTAATTCTCTGTGAGAAATGGCAGGTTCTGTATAATTCTCTAACACTGAGAGTTGTCATTTTAAAGAACTATAGTTTGGTTGCCCTGTGGTGGTGGTGCAAACCTTTTAGTCCCAGCATCATGGTGTGTGTGTGTGTGTGTGTGTGTGTGTGTGTGTCTGTCTGTCTGTCTGTCTGTCTGTCTGTCTGTCTGTCTGTATGCATGTCTGTGTTCTAGTGCACGCAGGACATCTGAGTTAAGAGACTAGCCTAGTCTGCAGAGTTCCAGGACAACAGGTGCTAAACAGAAAATCCTTGTCTTGGGCAAAACAAAACAAAACAAAACCCCAAACCTAATGATGAGAAAGTAAGAAAAATAATTTTTTTTGGTAACTAGTGTTTTAAAAGGACTAATTTTTGTGCTGGAACATACTGAAGGCATTAAGATCTAGCAAGCTGTATAGGGGTACTTAGACACCCTTTAACCAGGCTCAGGCTGCTTTGCCTTTTGAATTATTCTGTCTCATTTTTGCCTCCCACTCCTTTGTTGGTTGGCTGGCAACTTCTACATTTCTGTGCTTTGAACATATGTAAGCAGACTTTCATCACATAATTGGCACACAACTCATATGGGCTTGGTAATAAATCAATGAGTTGTGCTAGAATTAGTTTATTTGAAAAAAAGAAGCTAGCTCCACAGCCATTTGTGGTTTCCAAAGGCTTTTTTGTTTTCTACACAGTAAGCCTAGAAACTATGAATAGAAATATGTACTTTGATATTTAAACAACCCATTCTCAGCATTATTTGTTTAAAGATTATTTTATATCCTAGAACACTCCCCCTACCATTTCTCTTTATTAAAACATGATTATCAAATATGAGGTTTTGTACTTAATTTGAAAATCCTAAACTATAATTTAAATTTGCTCTTGAAAACCTCTGCTATAGTTGTGAGAGTTGTGTGGACAAAAGACTTTGTATTCCCTACAGTAATGGTCATAGGATCAATGTTTTGAAATGCTTTTTTTTTTAAAGTTGAATATTCCTAGCTTAAAATGTTTAATTTGGCCAGGCAGTGGTAGTGCATACCTTTAATATCGGTACTTGGGAGGCAGAGGTAGGCGGATCTCTGAGTTTGAGGCTAGTCTGGTCATCAAAGCCAGTTCCAGGACAGCCAAGGCTTTTAAACGGAGAAACCCTGTCTTGAAAAACAAAAACTATAAACAAAACAAAAAGCTAGAGGGTGTTGTATGAATCTTTTGGAGCTCCAGTGCAATACCACAAATGGAAAATTCCATTCTTGATATCATGTAATTGGGTGGTTGTCAAGATGCAGGTTCACTAAAATTACTATATTAAGATATTTTCAGGCTATATATAGTGTTAGCATAAGTAAAATTTATATTTAGTTGGATCCCATTCCCAAGAAACCTTGCTATGGCTTGGTGACACTTGCTTTTAATCCCAGAATTTGTCTGGCTGAGGAGGCTGAATGAGACAGATCTCTGAATTTGAGGCCATCTTGGTCTACCTAGAGTGTTCTAGGCCAGCCAAGGCAAAATAGTGAGACCTTGTATCAAAAAATAAAAATAACAAAAAGACTTATATATGCAAGTATTCTAAGTTGTGAGAAAGGCAGAAATTAGAAATACCTGTTCCCAGGCATTTCTGATCAGGGTTTACAGCTTGTATTAGCCTTAGACATGAGCATTGCAAGCACTCTGTGTTCCAGATTTATATGCTATAAAGTCAGGCATTTTTCTAATTTGTCTCATTTCATGTCACTTTTGATTGGAAAGGCTACTCTGGGTTACACCATTAGCTGCCATTATCTCTCTCCTCCTTGTACCTGATTGAAGACTCGAATTAAGGATAATTTTTTTGTTCTGTGTCAGTTATTTAAACTACCCGTGACTAATGCAATCTGTTATGGGAAGTGAAAAGGTAAACTGAGAAGTTTC